AGAGAGAGAGAGAGAGAGAGAGAGAGAGAGAGTCATCATCTTTCATGTGTTTTAGATAGGGGCGCAATGTACCCGATCAGAACTGGACCCAACGGATACAGGTATGGATTCAATTTTTTTAACCCACGAATCGGATTCGAGTCCAAAGTTTGGATCTAAATACTATTGGGTTTGGGTTCGACCGGACTCGACCCGTACCCAACTTGTTGCCATCCCTAGTTTTAGAGCTATAGAGAGCATAAGTAACTAAAAAATTAATAATAAATTATCAAAAGATCCATTTTTTGCAAAAATTAAGGGTTACTCCCACCACACTTTTTTTTATTTTTTTAAAGTTTGCCCCTGAATTGACATCAAATCGGCTTTTTTATTTTTTTAATTCTCCAATGGTAAGGCTCTGACCTAAGTTCTAGGTCTTTCTCGAGTGGTATGTTGTCCTATTATGGGAAGCCCTAAAATTTAGACTTATCCTATGTCATAAATATTAGACTTGTAAAGTTATATTCCTCGACAGGTCAATTAATTAAGTTTTAGACCGTTCCGGTCCTAAAATGCTGTAAAGCATAAGATGTATACCTATATTTTGAGGAAAAAACAAATCAATAAGATTTAGAGGCGAACTTAAAAGAACAAAAAATTTGCAAGGGACCAACCCTCCCATATTTTTTGCAAAAAAAATGGATCTTTCGGTATTTTCCTACCAATCTTTGTGTGTGTGCGCGTGATAAATTTCCTTCGCATAAAAGAGAACTTGCTCATGAATCAGATAATCAAACCAAGAGAGAGATAGACGCATTTGGAAACCAAGATAGCTAAAAATCTTTAGTGTAATTTATTTTTGATGAGAGGGAGCAAATAAAAAAAAAAAAAAAGGAAAGGAAAGAGAGAAGCTATTCATCTTTCTTGTCTTTTAGAGAGAGAGATTTAAAACCTAGAGAGAGATTGATTGAAAGAGTGAGAGTTATAAGACAAAAAATAACATGGAAATTGTAGTAAGGTTGTGGAGTAACCTTAGTGTCATTAGACCCCAAAAAATTGGATAAAGAATTTTGACAGCGAGGGATGGACTCGTCACCACAGGCAGGGCCCACCTATAAATTCCATAGCGAAATGGACCGTCTTCATTCAGGCAGATACCTGGCCCTGGAATCGTGGCCGTCCGATTACTAGCACAAGAGACAACCCCACCGCACGTTTTCTTTGAGCAAGCCAATGGAACTAGGTCACACGTGCCATTCATTTCACACATGCGTTTCACGCAAGAAGCCACGCGTTGGATGGATAGCACGTACCAACATCCTCCAGCAGCCTGAAAGAAAAAGTTTTTTACTGTTTCAGAAGATATTGTCGAAGGAGTCGAAATTCCTCAAAAAACTTACAGTAAAGGACAAAAGATACCAATTAAAGATGGAAAAAGTTTATATTGAGCTGAGGCTCTAAGCAATCAAATTAGAGCCCAACACAAAAATTTCATTAAAAGAGGTCGTTTTGATGCTCAAACATCCTCAAATCGATCATCTTGACATCAAGATGCATGGACGTGAGAAAAAAATGAATTTCAAGTTTTGGAAATAGTGCATCTTGTAATGCATTTTTGGACCGTCAATTTTCAAGATGTTCAAGTTTTTATAGATCGATTAGATCTATGTTATTTTGGTAGCTTTAAATTTTATAATTGAAGATGAAAATATATTTTAAGGCTATCACAAAGATTTCTAATATTGAAACCACATTTCTTGGCAAAATTTTGAAAGCGGGCTCCAATTTGATTGTTTAGAGCCTCGGCCAACAGCACCCATTAATAATAGATAATTTTTAAAAAAATTTATTTTGCTCAAGCATCTCTTTAAAAATAGTAATAAAAAATAACTAAATTATTTACTTTATAGTTGAGAACTTAAAACATGTAGAGGTATTTTAGTAATTTGGTACCCACTTTGTACAAGCACCGGTACTCCGGTCCTTTGTTATTGCCTCTTGGTGAGTTACTATTGAAATGCTCCTATTTACTCAAAAGAAAAAGTTTATATAAGGTTGCAACCTTAAAATGTAGAATTACAGATGCACCTCAAAAATCTATCTGAAAAAGGTTGTTTTAATATTGAAAAACCCTTCAATTGATCATCTCGACATTGAGATGTATAAATATATAAAAAAAATTTATTTTGAGTCCCAAAAATAGTGCATTTTGCAACATATTATCTAAACTGTCCGTTTTCAAGATTTTCGTATGTTTATAGATCTACTTGAGTTTTAACCATTTTTTGAGTTTAATATTTTATAATTAGATATGAAAATAGATTTCCAGATAATCTTAATAATTTTTTACCCCAAAATTACATGTTCCGATAATATTTGGAAGTGCGCCTTAATTGGATTGTTTAATGTTGTAACCTTATAGAAACTACAACCTTATTCAACCTTTCTACCTTGAATATGGGCAATTTAGGTGTTCTTTAAGATATTGTTCGAAGAGGTGGGTTGAGTGAAATGAAATTTAAAATATATCCCTTCTAATTTTAATCGGGATGTTTTTACCCAAGTAAAAATTTTGTAAAGAATTTGACCCTTTAATTGATACTTTCTCTTAAGATGAAGATATGATTTGATTTTTAATTATTTCAATTCAAAAAAATAATTTGGTTGATTTTGAGTTTAATTGATAGGAGTTGGAGGGGAATGTTCATAAGATTGGCACTAAAACTGAATTTTAATAAATATTCATGCGAGTAAGGCAACATATCCTAAATAATTGAAAAAAAGACTACGATGATGAGTTATGCAATCAGGACAACGGACCCACACATTTGAAAGTGTGAACTTCGAAAAATGACCCTTTTAACACATGTCCCTAAGACAATAAGGATAATTAAACTATTGAAGCGTTTTAAGATCAGACGTACTGAGTGAGGAGACACCAGCGTCTTTAGTGTGTCAAATGGCTAATGACGACACATTGTCCTTTGCATGTCAATGTCAATGTCAAATAGCCAAAAAGCTACAGAAATATACGTCTCGAGTTGGATTCACACCCCAAAATTAAATATAATGGAGAATTATTTGGTGGATCCAAGCCCGCACCGGTTACCATGTGGGCCTGGCTATCTACACCATCCGCAAAAGAAAGTGTAGATCTACACCATAAATAATACTCCTCCAAAGAAAATTGAAGTAGATCTGGGATTTGTTTAGGATTCTTGATACTTTGTTTGTGCATGTTTTTCATGAGGCTAATGTGCTAACCGTTCATCTTGCAAAAAGTGGTTCGAACCTTACGTCCGTTTTAACTTCGGATACTGTAATCTCTTTCTAGCTTCTTATTAATACAAGTAATGGAACTCATAAGGCCCCCCCCCCCCCCCCCCCCTTAGAGCTTAGGTCCACCTTGTTGCATATTTGGGATTTGTCTAGGACTCTTGATATTTCGTTTGTATATGTTTTTGGTAAGGCTAATGTGCCACCCGATCATCTTGTAAAAGGTGGTTCGACACTTAACGTCTTTTTAAACTTCGGATACTGTAATCTCTTTCTAGCTTCAGATTAATACAAGCATTGAATTTCTCTGGAAAAAAAACATACTCGTCCAAAGAAAACGTAAAATCAATAGTTCAAATATTTTCTTCAAAAGATATCATTTTTAGTTTTTAAAATTTATTTATTTTTACAGATTAATACTCTACATGTTAAAGATTACATATTCCTTAAAAGTTAAGATTATATTTTATTGAAAAAAATTATTAATTGACCCGCATTTTTTCGTGTAAGTCCATGGACTCATAGAAACCGTGTCCATATGTCACACATGTTGTAATAAAGAATACTGTAATGGCTGAGGATAGATATCATTCTATACTCCGTAGAGCACGTAGTGCTTTTTTTTTAACCTGGATTTGGCTTTACATCCGTGTTGGACTCGACCGGTTGGGTATGGATGTACGAGTCCTGGACTGGGTCAGAGTTCATGCCTGGAATTAACCTGGTTAGGTTAGGTTCATGTCAAAGCCGACCTAACTCGGTATACATTTTATTTTTTTATATATTTACCCCAACCCAATTTTTCAGGTCTGATCTAGATAGACCGTAAATATTGCCAGTCAGGTTTGGGTCGATGCAACTCAAATCCAATATGTTTGCAGGCCAGTAAGTAGCTAGGATCTCTCTGTCTCAAACACACTCACGCATATGGTAGACTCGCGTCAACGCTACAAGTCTTGGCCAGGTGCACCAGCTTCGAATCCAATAATAGATGGGACCAAGTCTAGGTGAAGTCCTGATCAAGATCAAACCTTGATCTGTTCAGTTGGGTCTAGGCCTGAGTGAACCACTAGGATCCAAACCAGTTATGTATTTGTGTGTCTGATATGGTGAACCGGGTGGGCCACCCTTCCCTCTTGGTCCGAGTCTATGCACAAACTCGTCTGGTTGCATCTAGACACAACAGACCTCGACCCGACTGGGTTTTGTCAGTGTCAAGGTCTCAAGTCTCCTGTACCTACACTCCGACCCAGCCCATTTACAGCGCTGTATAAAAAGCGTCCATCCCTCTTGGCTAAAAACAAAACGGCAAAAATGTACGGATCAACTAAATCAGAGTGGACACGACTCTACAACCCACTTGGAAGGCTTGAAGCCAACGTATTATATGCAAAGGACATAATAGATCACACTCGAAGCCTCTTTGGCCCACTTATGCTTGACACTTGACAACCAAGTCCCTACTAGCCCCAATCAAGAAAACGTAATCTTTTTTTGCACTTAAAAAATGTGAGACAATTTACTGTTATAAACGGTGACAAAGATTAAGCATTAAATAATGAGTAATGATCCTATGAGACCCTTTCATACCCACATGTATAGAATCTCAAAAGATCATCATTAAATTTGATATATATTTCTAAAAAAATCAAGTCCCACATCCATATGATACTTTTTTTAGATATCTGTATCAAATTTAATGGTGATCTTTTGAAGTCCTATACACATAAGTGTTAGAGGGTCTCATAAGATCATTACTCTAAAATAATTTCACCCAAAAAAAACAATTCAATTCTCCTTAGTCTTTGTGGGAACCCAAGTTGGAGAACCCAGGTTTATAGATAAAACCTTGACAACTTTAGGGCAAAACTTTACTCCTCTAATACCCAACTTAGCAATTGAGCTACACAAACTAGTTTTTAATTTACATTACTAATCCATGACCTAGAGGAGAAGTATATGGTGAGTCGGCCTGCTCATGCGTGGAGTCTGTCTTAGTTTTCAAGAATTTAATACCCAAAACGCATATGGAATTATTGAAAATTCATTTCCGCCTCTAATTTATGAATTTGGAGCCTAAAAAATAATTCAGATCTGATAATCTTCGAAGACTCAAAATGAACAATAACAAAATACAAGGATTGACCATACAAAATAGGCCATTTTTAAGGCTTTCGCATCATAAAAACCAAAGGCAAACCTACAAATCAGACATAAAAAGATGAATTTTTAGAGAGTGAACGCACTATATTAGGTGCATCCATGGGGGCACCTAAACCCCAACCTGACTTAAAACTCCAACATGTCCAGGCTCAAATTAACTAGTTTGGTCCTCCCTAATTTATTACTGAATCAATCAGTTTTGTTGCTCTTTTCACTGGATGAATATCCTCACTTTCAAAACCATGGATTGGTATAAGGCTCATTTAGGGTCAATTATGAGGTTTAGCCTAGTATTTGGTCTTTTATTTTTATTGTTTTTTGGTAATTTTTATTTTTATTTCATTATAGCATTCTAGAACATAGCAAAAGAAGTTTTAAGCTGGCTTGGAAAACTTACATGAGAGGCAATGAAATAAGCAATGAGATTGAGGGCAAAGCCCCACCAAATGGTGCCAAATAAGTAGCCTGTCACATTTTGCATCCTCTTCATCAAGCAATGGCTGTGGTAAACCTTGGGCAAATATTGGAACATGATAATGAGCAGAAGTATAGTCATTATTTCCTTCATTTTCTCCTCCTCTATAAGGCCTGGTACTACAAACCAGAATACAGCCTGTACAAACACACAACATCAATATGTGATAGACAAGTGGGTTCCATTAATCTCTAGTGAAATCATAAGAAATTGCATTAGAAGCACATAAATAAAAATAATACTAGAAAGAAAAGCTGCCCACCCAACCCAGTGATTATTGAAAACTCATGGACTTGAGCTTGGACTCGCTCAAATTTTTCGAACCTAACAGGCCCTACGCCAGGTGTTTTTTAAGCGAGTCCCATCTAGTCAAAACCATTTTGTGTTTTTTTTTAGAAAAAATTATAGATTACCCCAAAATAAACTTTTTAGACATCTTTCCTCTTTATACTTTTAGTATTACACCTACAACCATTTGTGTATTTTTTTTAGAGAAAATTATAGATTATCCCAAAATAATTTTTTTAGACATCTTTTCTTTTTATACTTTTAATATTACACTCACAACCGGAACGCTATTTTTTCTTGTTTTTACCCCGTCAAAAAGTTAAAATATTTAAAAATAAAATGCCATTCTCCTCTCTCTACCCGGCCTCTCTTTCTCTCTCTACCTGTTCTCTCTCTCCTTGATATGGCTCTGTCCCCTTTGCTGAACCCCCCTCTCGAATGAAATTTCTACCGTCTTGGCCATCTCTTGATCCTACAAAATCCTCTCTCCGTCTGTCTTTGTTTTAAGTCCCTCTCTCACCTATCTGTTTCAAACCATCCTGGCCATGTTCATTTCTTATTTTTTGCAGGCATTTTTTTTTTTCTTTTTGGATAATTCAGTGGGGAATACATTCCTCTAAGTGTTTTTACAATAGTTTATGAAGTTACATTTTGAAAGTATTAATTGTAAGCGTTAGAAATGGATACTACGAGTCTGGGTGAGGGGATGCTAGCACCCTGACCCAGCCCCTTTCCTGTTTTTTGCAGGCTTAATTGAATCTGACTGGCTTAATTGAATCTGACTGCCGAATCAAGCTTGGGACCTTGATTTGAGGAAATATCATCGGCCATGACTAAGCTTTTTTATGTATGTCTCACATAGACTTAACCGAGTCATATGTCTGACTCGGTCTTGGAGCGCTAGCGTGCGCCAGTTTTAACCAAAATGAGAAGATAATAAGAGAGAAACGATATGTTTATTCTTTGGAAAGAATTTATATAAGGTTACAACCTTAAAATGTAGAATTGGCACCTCAAAAATACATCGAAAAATGTTGTTTTAATATTGGAAAACCCTCTAATATCATCTCAACATCGAAATGAATGAATATGAGAAAAAAGGATTTTGAGTCCCAAAAATAATGCATCTCGTAACATATTATCTAGACCGTCCATTTTCATAATTTTCATATATTTATAGATCTACTTGATTTTAACTATTTTAAGAGATTAAAATTTTATAATTAGATATAAAAATAGATTTTCAGATAATCTTAAGAATTTCTTACACTAAAATTACTTATTATGATAAAATTTGGAGGCGTGCCTTAATTGGATTGTTTAAGGTCGCAACCTTATAGAAACCGCCCCCTTATTTTTTTCAAAAAAAATTAGCAAGATCTATAAATATGATGGGTAAAATATATATATTACTGATCAATCACCATTGTCTTTGGACATGTGGGGTTAGATTCCGTTAGCCCATGTTCTGTACCACAGGCACTTGGTGAGATGAAACGGCAAAAGGTCGGAAATTTCGCCGAAATATTGGGTATAAAACCAGGTGTTACATTCCTGCGAGGTTTTCTCTGTGATGCCCAAAAATGAAGTTTCCGATGGAAATCGGGGAAAGAAGAAAGGCCTCAAAAATTTGAGTTGCTACAGAATTTGGCCATAATTTCAATAACTTTAAGCCGAAATGCGTTAATCATAAATCGCCGAAATTTTGCAGCAACCCATCCCTTGTTGAATTTGGACATAGAAGCTCAAATTCCTTTAATTTCCCGAATTTCACTATAATTCATAGAAATTCGCAAAATTAAAAAAAAAAAAAAAAATCCAACAAACGATCAAATTACCAAAATTTACCAAAAACCACTGAAATTAATGGTAAAATAACGAAATTTCATTGAAAACTGCAAACTTTCGAGGAAATTAGAGGGCCGCACAAACCTGTGGAACCGGAAGGACGACGAAGAGGTCGAACCAGAAGCCTTTCAGTGACCTCACGTAGTGGGATGCCACCGCACGTGGGTCCCACACGAGGCGGCCGCACCCGACCACGAGCGACTCCCGCGACAGGTACGCCAGCCTGAACTGCGTCCAAATGTGGCCGACGTGAAATGCGTCCGCGGACGTCCGCAGAACCATCACTGCGCCGGCAAGCTTCCAGTTCATGTACAGGCAGAGCCCTCTCTCTCGAGCCACCGTCAAAGAATAAAAGAACAGAGGATCAATGGCGAGAGCCAATGCTCGGACCAGGAGCACCGCCCGGTTCCACTTCTGGACCTTGGGGCTACGGGGGTCGAGCACTTTGCTAGTGCCATGAGCCCTGGCCCGGTGAGGCTGCACAGTGGAGAGGCTGGGCTTGATGGGGATGAGGTGGGACCCGGACCCAGGATCCCAGTGAAGCTGCCCGTTCGTATGCTCGCAACTGATAGAGTGGAAGGCCGGGGCGCCAGCCTGGGTGCATGCATAGCAGCTGTGCTCCTCTTTGGGTGAGGCGGCCATCGGTGTCGCCTCCGGTTCTCGCAGGAGGGCGGCAACCGGCCTGGAAATGATACACAGAGGATGAGAATTCAGGGAGAGAGAGAGAGAGAGGTGTTACCTTGAGAGAGGGAGGTTGCTTGAGAGGGGCATGGTGGGCGCATGGGAATAGGGGCATGGTTTGATGAGTTGAGAGGAAATATGGAAGATGAATATGGAGGGGGAAGGGGCATCATCAAAATAATAATTGAAAGACGTCGCAATGGACAAGTTTAGGATGAGAAATGAGAGAGCGGGCTCGTGGATGAAAGGGGTAGCACATGGGAGGCCTGATGGCCTGAGGACAAAAGTACATTTAAGAGAGCAAGAGAGAGCCCTTTAACAGAGAGAGGCTACTATAGCGAGAAGAGAGAGATGATGGCCGTGGCAACGGGTCGGGTAAGTGCGGGTCCGGTTGGACTTAAACTCGGATCCCAATACTAATCGGGTTGGGTTCGGTTGAATCCGGACTCAAGTCCAAAAAATAATCGGGTCCAAATTTTTGGACCCTTTTCGAAATCCATCAGGACTTGGGTTTGATCGGATCCATTGCAATCTTCTAACTATGAGTTTTTTTTTTTTTTTAACCATCATATATTTTATAGCTGTGAGTCTTTTTTTTTTTTTTTTTACCAATAAAACTGTAAATATTGTCAATATTAGACAACATAAACATCTAATGTGTGTCTAAAGACACATGATTGCCATCAAATACCCTAGGGTTACGGACAGGCTGATACGGGTTAAATCCGACTGAGCCCCGACCCAAACCTGGACCCAAGATTGGATCTACCCGTGTCGGGTCCATTGCCGCCCCTAGCAATATAATAGAGATAGGGTAGAGGGCTACTTCGAGGGAGAGATGCCAGACTTTTAATAGAGAGAGGGTTGGAGATGGCTACTTTTAGAGAGACAGAGAGACGGAGAGAGATACCTGGCTTTCAGATTTATGGGGCTTCACACTTGCCTTGTATCGATGACAGCTGCTGCCGGAGTCTGGTGATGTGCCCGGAACACGGTGACGGAATTTTCAAATGTGGGTACATTTGCCCAGGAGAAAGTGATGTACTTGATTTGTTGTTTTCCTGAGGATTTGAATTTGATGTTTTACTTTTCTTGTTTTCTTTGTCCTGACTTTGCTTGTTTCTATACTCATAAATTTGTTTCATAACCTTTGGTTTGATATTTTGTACACTACCATTGGGATATCGTAGGCTAGCAGCCTTCTCTATTTTTGGTTTTCCTCTGCAGTGGGTGGAGGAAAGGACATGCACGGCGAGATTCATGGCACATTGCTCTCAGTGTAGCAACAGGTCGGGTTGGCCCAACCCGACCCCATGCATTAGAAGAGGTTGTTTTAATGCCCACGTACCTTCAAATTGATCATCTCGACATCAAGATGCATAGACATGAAATAAAATGGATTTTAACTTTTTGGAAATAGTGCATCTTGTAACGCATGTTTAGACAGTCAAATTTCAAGTTTTTCAAGTGTTCATAGATCTGCTCGATCTACACTATTTTTAAAGCTTAAAATTTTAGAATTAAAAATTAAAATATATTTTAAGACTATCAGATAAATTTCTAATATTAAACCCACATTTCTTGACACTATTAGAAGGTGTGTTCCACTTTGATTGTTTAAAAGCTCGGCTCTATACAAACCACACTCAAATACACAACCGATTAAAAGCG